TATCAACCGAGCCACACAGCTTGATGTCATCTGCAAACTTGCTGAGCGCACACTCAATTCCATAAATCCTACACTGCTCAGGGGTCCCAGCATCTGAAGGGGTGGAAGATTATCTTTGCTGTTCTTACATTGGCAGCTCTAATAAATAGCATATAAAATGATGCCTTACAGAGTCTATGTGTCTTCTTACTGGGATCATAGCTGACCAGCACCTCCAAATGAAAAACAGGCATTGAACAGTTACTTCCAGCACAGGAGTAGTCCCAAAACCCCGAAACAGTACTGCATGGCATCACTGTTCTGTTTCCTCTTTACTGTGGTGTTCATGTGTGAGGTGGCATATGCACAAGGGCTTATGTATGTGTTTATGCAGGTAGACATGCATATCTAGTTTTTTACTACTTAGTTTTGGTTATCTATCAATTTACTAGCTACAGTATTTTTAGCCACCCTGCATAGGCAACTGCACTCAAACAAGCACAATGAAGCAGGCAAGTACAGATTCTGGCCTTCTGCCCCATCCCACCTGTTTTCTCTCTGTACTAAACAGTACAAATACTGAAGATAAAGATGCTTCAAAAATTTAGAACACATTGAAGAACGAAATATTTGAATGGCCAGTTAAGAAACTGCTCCACCCACTTAAAGTTTCAAATTTTTTAATCTTGAAGAATTTGATAGTTTAAAAACATACTTTTAAATACCATCTTCTCAACAATTACTCAAACTTACTACAGTAATGACAGCATCGAGGGAGGGCTCTGAATATAGACTTCTAAACTGTGAAATAAAGGATTTTTCCTCACTAAACACTGAGGATCAAGGAACCAAGATAGCTGACCAGGCAGAATGGTTAAAAAATGGAAACCTGAGAATGGTTTCAAGCTAATTTTGAAAATGAAGCCCTCCTAGTTTTTATCCAATTTCTAAGAAAAGAGTGCTTCATTTTTAATGATACAGATTCTAATCACATGTCACTAGAGCAAAGAAAAGCAAAACCTCTCTCTGAAGTTAATGCTCTGCCTCCTCTCTACCACAGCTGTAGACTGTAACTCCAGTATGCACATTAAAAAACAGAAACAGTTGGTTTACATGTCCTTATTCCTTGTGACATGCTTAGGGCACCTCTTTTCTTTTAGAAGAGATTATGCATGTTTCAAAATAACACTGCAGAGACTCTTCATGTTTCAAAATAACACTGCAGAGACTCTTCATGTTTCAAAATAACACTGCAGAGACTCTTCTTCATAAAAATCTTAGTTTCCTTTTACTCTGAAATAACTGAGGAACTTCACAAAGATTTAGAACAGATTTATAAGCAATGAAGAAAAAGAATGAAATAATAGAAAAAGTACAAACCTCTGATTGTACATGCCCCGGAAATTGTAATTTGCTCTATAATTGGGAATTGGCTTTGGATCTAATGGCCTGTAGATGGCAGGCTCTCCTCTTTTCATAGCCAGACCATTCAGCTCCACTGTTGGAGTTATACTGCCTGTAAAAAAAACCCAAATACATGTAAGGCACTTAAACCACAAATATTGCGAAAGGCACAAACAGAACTGAGATGAGCAGCAAAGAGAGAGCTGCATGATATTCTTCTGCTTTTAAATTAAAAAAGAAGCAACTACCTTGACATTTCAGCTTCTCTAAAATATTGGAATATGGATGTAAACTTAATCACAAGCAATAGAAAAGAACATTTAAACATTTATCTCAGTGCATTCTTTATGCAGTTCCAACAGATTAATCTTCATATATGAATGAGAAAGTCAATGCTAAAATCAAGCTGGTTATTCATCTTTCCAAAGTGCTTATAATATGACACTTCCTTAAACTATAAAGATAAAAGAATAATGTCTTTTCCCGCTGCATACCATTAAATAAAACCACAAAGAGAGCAATGAAGCATTGAAACAACTGAACAGCAACAGGCATTTACTGCAGTCATTTGGTAATCTTACAAGTTAGAAAAAATGCTTTATTTGCAAGACTTGAAAATTTAAGGCTATAACTAAACGCTAATGAGCTAACAGGAATGATCTAACAAACTGAAAAACAATACTGGAAATCAGTATCACTACAGCCATCTACTGGTCACAGAATCCAAAATTGCTTGGGAGTATTATCCTGACCATTAGCCATTATGGATTGTTTGGAAGTGGTGTGATAGCACTCTCTTGCTCCTTCACAAATCAATACATGGCTTCTTCAGGCCCAGGACGATGGTTCTGCCCTGTCTCCTTCACAATCACTGTGACTTCAGAAAGTTCAGACCTCTATAAAAATGAATCCTGGGTCTGATCCTTGATATTGCAGAGTATTACACAAGCTTTTAGATTTTTTTTGGCTTTGAGCATATTCTTAAAGGGAAAAGCTGATAACAAAAGAAGTACGATTTAAGAGAACTCATTTAAAAGTTCTATCACTTTACACTGTTTTGTCCTGTCTGTTGATCATCTACAATCACTTTGTACACATCCAACCCTAATCTAAATAATATATTTACATACAGTTCAACTATTTTAGTTATGTACATTAAAAATTCTCCTGTGCAAATTCCCTAGGAGTTCTTCATTACACTATCACACCTGTAAGAAAGACAGCTATGTTGATTCTCATCCTCCAACTCAACTTATATCTTGTTAAATTTATTTACTGGTAGTATAATATTCCAACACTTCAACAACACAGAGAGGAAAATGACATACCTGGATTATTGTTAACATTATTTTTGGGTGGTCTAGGTGTTGGTTTGGGAAGGGTAGTTTCATTCAATGCTTTGCTAGCAGCAGCATGTTGGGCCTTTTTAATACTGCTTCCTTCAGCTTCCCATGTCTGTTCCCCGAGAGTCAGCTGCACTGTGAACATCTTCAAAGACAAAGAACAGGTAAACACTGGCAAGAGTATCACTATGGACTAGACCAATCTGTATAAAAGCTTTTAGGGCTGAAGAGAAACTGTGCTCTCTTTTCATTATGTTCAGTTCCCAGAAAACTCATCTGACTCTTAGAGAGATCAGTGAGCCCTCAGCAGTGGGCAACATTAAGCCTTTCAAATGACAAAGAAAAATAGCATGATGTTAATGTCAACTGTGAAAGAACAGAATAATATTTAAACCAAGTAATAACAACTGAAAACTGATGATCTACTCTTGGAAGACTATATACAGGTGAGTTAAGACCACAATTCTACACACATTTGAATGCATTTAGTCACTCTACTAGTAGAAAAAATGTAAACAATGCTACTAAAAGAAGTAATTTTGTAATAATTCTGAATGGATACAAATCACTGCTCCTCTTCAAGGCAGCAGAGAATGTGGCACAAATACCTGTACCCACCGAAATAATTTCTCACCAACCTGATTTCTGAAAAGAATTTGTATTGTTAGTCCAGAGGCACAACTCAAATATGTTCAAAAACATGAAGTAAGAAAGAAGTATTATCTTTCTGAATGAAATTGCAGTTCTCTAATGTGGACTGTACAGCGAAGAAAGGAACTGTAAAACTTCAGAGTTCAGAAATGGACTAACTGATCAAAAAAACATATTTTAAATCTGGAATAAAGGATTATTTCAAGCAGGATCTATGCTGTGCAAATCACAAAGACAAAACTCAATGCACATTTAAGGCATTAGATTGACTCTATCTTCTCTGTGATACATACAGGTTCTGTTCAAATTTGAGCATATAAAAATAAGAGAAGAAAGGGTAAGAACTCAATGTCTTCGCCGTATCAATTCCATACAAATAAAGCAGGATTTAATAGACAGATACACATGGTAAACTAAGATATACCTACCTCAGAGAACACACTAACTTACTTGAGGCAACATAAAGAAATCTACATGTTTGTGTGAGCAGTATATAAAGTAAAATTTTCATTTTGATAGTTTTTGTTCTGTAAATTTTTAAATTATTTAAACTTGCTGGATCCAGGACCAAGTATCTAGAGATGGGCAACATTTAAATTTCCCTTTACATATATTTTCATTTAGCATGTACTTGCAAACAAGCATTTGAACGCAAGTACGTATCTACCTCCCAACTCAGCCCTATACATGTGTACACCGTGCATGTCAACTGAATGCTATAAATACATACTTGTGTCTTAAATACAGGCTTGAGCTTTGGCCTACTGTAATTTTCAGAAGCACAGTGCCAGTCCCCGTATCACAGTTCCTATTGCCATGTCTTTTTTTCCACAGCAGTCATGACACTTCCCCACAGACAAGGAGGAAGAGAGAAAAGAGTATCTTAATTTTGCCCTCTGTCAAATGCTATCCCCCACCTGAAAGCTAAGCTGGGTGTTAGAGCTAAATACCTGTAACGATCTAAATCATCTATAAACATACATCCTTATTACTAAAAGAATTGAAATCTGATTTCTGGATCTGGAGCTTATATATTCTTTGTTTTGCAAGTAAGTATCAGTCTAGTATTTTTATAGGAGGAGAATAATACTGAATTTAAATAAAAATATGATTAATAATGGCTACTTATCTACCTATAACTTTCCTCTTTATGCTTAGAGCAGTAAGCAGGAAATCAACACAATAAAGGACTTGCTCAGTACACTTCTACAGCGAGAGCTCTAACCTTCTCAACTTAACCCATCTGACAAACTCCTACAATAAACCCACACACACAATAATGGGTGGGAATTTAATTAAAGGAATAAAACTGCCTAAAACCAAAATCTGGAGCAGCCAATGAAGTACACAAGTTCTGCAAGACCGGAGCTGACGATTCTGCTATGAATTAAGAAGTATTTCCCATCGATTTTCTGAGGAAGTTTGTATTCCTTCCCACCTAATTTACCTGATGGCTGGAGAGTGGAAATGCAAAGGCCACCACACTTACTCTCATTTATGCTAACAAACACGTCCTAATTTTTCTCATGATGAAGAATACACCCGGAGGGCAGACTCCTAGAAACCTTAACTGCACTGTCAGGAAGCACCACTTCTATCTCCACTGTTTCTAGTTTCCAATTTCACCCCAAGTGTCAGAACTTACTTTCTAGAGACAACTAGAAAAAAGGATACAAAAATTTACTACCATTTGTGGTCACAATGCAGGCAGCTGTCTTACAGAGCATGCCTCTGAAAATTACAAAAACCACTAGTGAAGGAGAACAGAGTATGTGTAGGAGGAAAGTAATATGAGATGCTGCTTCAATGGCAAACAGCCGCAGCAGCATTACATCCTTCGGATCATGCTTTCTAGGACAAATCCAGCTCTGTTTCACATATTCTATCAGGTATATCATCGTATTACTAGCAAGACATTATACTAAACTGCTAAGACAGTCATAAGAATTTCTATGCCTCTGCTTTTTGTAGGTCAAAGGTACACGAGTCTGCATAATCTTATTAATATCACCCTTGTTCTTCCATCCCCTTCCATCCTTTGTTTTTTGCATTTGCTGCACAGGTCAAAGACAGACTTAATATTATTCTGAGTCTACAGAGCATATGTTTGGGGTTTTTTTTTTATTTCCTATCCTGCTAAAAGGTAAGGTATAGCATGAATGTAATTTAACTCAAATCTCTTTACTGCTGAAGGAATATCAACAGCCAAAACTACAGCTTTTGGTACAATGAAAGTACTTCTTATTTCACAGTAATAGAAAAAAGGTAAAAAAATAAATATATAACACAACAGTGAAAAGCACAAAAGATCTAACATGCCACAACCTAAACCCAACCAACCAGTGTACCCTATACCCAAATGCCTCCAGAAAAGTGAAGAGCACTTTAATTGCCATTCACAATGAGGAATCCTAAAACCTTTCTGATTCTCAGCAGCCCTGCACCTGCTGACATTTCTACCAGTATAAAGGATGCATGAACACCAGTCAAACGAGGTCAGTGATTCGCATCAACTCTACGCTAGCTGACAGCAGAGAGGCAGCCCACACCTAGCTGAAACTGCTGTCACTGAAATCTGCAGCGTGACCCCACTGCCTTACACGGCTCTGCCACGCTAGAAATACTGAGTCCCAAGCAGCTATTAATTATGCCATGGTCTCTCTCTCTCTGAGTTTTTCAGGCTTTTTTCTGCTCCCCCATATTGCTCTTAACTAGGGAGGAAATTCAAAATTATGTCTGAAAATTATTATCATGAGAATATCCCTCTGTATTCCACATCACCCAAAAGCATCCTAATTCATACTTCTGAAATGAAGTTGGATATCCAAACTGATATGAGAACTGCCCAGAATTAACCATCAGTTCACTAGAAATTTTAATGCAATAATCATATTAGGAGTCTTACTATCACCGGAAATGTTAAAGTTGCACAGAATTTAAAGGAAAGAATAGTAATAAAGTCTGTGCCCTATAATGCAAGATCCAAAGATACAGCATCAATGCAATCAACTTTATGTACATAGAATCATATCAATAAGCACTCAAAAGAAATTACACATAACTACCTTTGTCGTCATCTGCAATACCATGAAACAAACCCTGAGGTAGTTATCAGAGGCACACCACTGGGGAGAACGATTCAGGCAGCTTACGAAGCAAATGCTCCACAATGGTTATGAAAGGGTGGTGCTGCCCTGGAAAGATCTTCACAAGGTCTTTTATAGAGACCGACAAATATAAACTCAAAGGTGGAAGTGAAAGTCAGGTTTAAAATGATCTATAGGGCTTCAACAGAAATACAGACATACTTTCCGAAAGCATGAAACAAAATAAAGAAAGTAAATAACAGTAAGAAATCCCTCAGACTAGAAGTACAGCTGTGTTTGACAAGCACAATTGTCCAGACCATGATGTTATCTGTTCAGCATTTAAGGTATGGCTCATCACCTGGAACTGTGACCTTACCTTGGCATGAGCAGGCCCTCTTTCATTCAGAAGCTTATACTGGGGTTGAATTCTATTGAAACGGGCTAACTCATTTACCAGACACATTGGAGTTTTCTCTTTGGGGTTTGCCATGTTATCTTGGAGAGGAGCTGTAAATAAAGAGGCTGTAAAGTTTTTGTGGAGAAATGTATCCTTCACAACTTCGCAAAGCTTTGCAAAAGCAACAGCATGCTTAGAAAAGAAAATACTTTGGCTAAAAAATAATTTTGCACATATGCTAAATACAATGTTTAAATACTATTTATATACTAATCATATGAGAATATATATTTTACAGTAGCCATTTTGATTACATGCAATTAAAAAAATACTAAAAATACAACTATTTCTTTCCAAAATGTCTCTATAAAGCATGACAGCGTAGGAGGACATACACATAAGCTACATTTTCTACGTCACCAAAGTTTACTGTCAGGAGTACACTGGTTCCAGGAACTGACTACTTTTTCAGAATGGTTTCTTGACACTTTGAAGCAGAAGTGGATAGAGTAAGAGTTGCAAGATAAATATAGCAGATGAAACCATGTGGTCTCCACCCGCTTCTCCATGCTTCTTCCTGGTGTTTTAGACTTTCCTCACAATAATGAAGTCACACTCAGAGCACTTCCAAAAAACACCTTTTCTCCCCCTTTAAGGATTTTGTTCTGCTTTTCTTAGATGACTTACTTCATGTATACTGCCTTACTTTTTTTTAACTTTCTATTGCTTTTTCAACTCATCTGTATTTACCCCTAACACACACTGTCATCTTTTGCTTATTTTTTTAGGGTAACATTTCTACATTTTATACCCAGTTCAGCATAGGAACTGGGCATAGCATTTATTAGGCTACAAAGGAAACACCGAATACTGCCAAGCAGTCTGAAGACATTCTGTTCTAGGGAAGAGAAACACACTTGGAGACCTTCCTGCACCACTAAAACTTCTGTATAAAAGATACGCTCAGAATTTGACAAAATAGACATGTTCTTTTATGTCATTGGTCAACACTTCACAGGAAGTCTGAGATCAGTTAAAGAAACTTAACTTAGTAAACAGTCTATTTAGCCAAAATATTTTTCTACGGGATTTTTTTTTCTTTATTTTAATCCTCTTTAAGACCTAATTTATTCATTTATTTTTTAAATTAGCAAGTCGTCAAAGAAATTCATTTGAACACCAAAGAGAATATACTGGAACCAACTTACCTGGTGAGCTGCTAGAAGGTGCAGGATCCACAAGGCTGGCAGTAGGACTGCTACAGCTGGCAGCCGAATCTGAAATGGATCCATTCATTGAGGATGGCAGACCCAGTGTATTTGTAGTGGCAACTGGTAGGGGTAGCACCATAGGGGACATGGTGGGTCCGGCCAGGTTTGCTGGAGTCTGCATCTTAACTTGTGCCATTGCCTACCACTGCAATAAACAAATTATTATAAGTGGGGCACTTTGCATTTTGACTGTCAAATAATGGTAGTGATATCAGCAACATTTCTTTTTTGCTCCTGGATCTAAGTCACAAAACTATCCACAGAAGTAAATGCCTCTGCAAACATTACTTCCAAACTGAAGCACCAAGAAACAGAGCTCACAGCCAAAGGACATCACCAAAGCAGAAACCACACGCCCTGAATGTTCTGTTGTTCAGCTATGGACTGACCCTGCCTGAAATACAGGAGAAAGAACTATTATTCTAGAGTAAAATTCCATGTAATTATTTTGTTGATGAGATTAGCACCTGCCAATTTCTTCAAGAAAGGATGTCATTACAACAAACTGCCATAGCCATCTTTTGCCATAGTTTTTTCCAGTGAAGTGCACACAAAATACCAAAGAAGGCCGAAAGAGAAAATCCCTGAGTTCTTCTGCCTGGTACCAAACTACAAAAGAGAAAAAAATAAGGAGAGAAAACAAACAAACACCAAACAAAATACGAAAGAAGCATGTTCTGAAAAAATAACTGCTTATCCAGTCAACAGGTGGAGCACTTCAATCCTTGTATAAACTACAGCACAGGTACCAGGATTTCCTAAACTAGCCTTTAACCCAGTGCCTAAAGCATTTACCAAGAACATGCCAGGTACTAATTATCTTTCTCCATCTACCCAAATGAGTTTCTTCACTACCAATACCTCTTCTCTGGCTAAGTCTACACTCATAGACAAACGAGGATCATGGCACGGCACCTTCATACTACTCACTGAGAGTATGCTCCTTGGCAAAACTTTGGCTACTGACAGAAAACTCTTCAAAAACCACACGGGAGCAGTTCAGAGGCCAGGAGGCACCCGAGGCAATCCACACAAAGAAGAGAGGAGACAGTCATTCTCAGTCCTCCAGGGAAAAGTCTCGAACTTCTCCCTTTGGCATCAGCAGCAAACAGGATGATGTATTTTATGCAGTAACATGGACACAAGACTTATTTTTTAGGGTTCATGCACATGGTATGATCTGTACAGAGTGGATAGAGAGACAAACCCCATAACAGCCAATAAGCAGCCTGGGGACCTGGAACTTTCCCAGCAGCAGCTCTGGTCCCCTCTGGCAAAAGCAGAGGAGGGCAGGAGCCCAGCTCTCCTCCATCACGGGCAGCACCCTTACCACTAAGTTCTTTGCTACTTCTGTTGAGGAATTCTCTCTTCCTAAGCAAAAATCCCATCCAATCCCATCTAACTAAGATCTTACTGAAATTAGTAGAATGATATAAAAAAAATCTGATTACATTAGTATTTTTGACCCCTCAAAATCTGTTAAAAAATACCTAAGTACTCAGAAGGACACTATTGTTGGATTAAGATCCCAAACCACTTGATACACCATAAAGTGTAACAGCTGCACTATTATATATAATAGTAAATCCTGTTACTGCTGACTCCATGCTTTGGAGAAGAAGTTCAGACTGGAATGCCAGTTTTTATTACTGAGGAAAGACAGGCTGATTTGAATCTCTGGAAGGCAAAAGTAAAAAATTTAAAAATGAAGTTAAGATGCAACCACTTGCCCTTCCCATAAATATCTGAAGTAAAATGCTGATAGTGACAAAAAACTAAAAAATACATATGCAGTCATCTGTGTTCAAAAATATGGACTACACTTAGACTGTAAAAGTCCTACAGTCACTTAAAAGCACGTCATACAATGGAGTAGTATTATTAGAAGGACCTAACTTAAAGACTGAGAATGCATAACTATAGAATTCTTTGGTATATTACATGTTCAATTCTGATTTTAAATATACTAATATAAATCAGAATGAATTAAAAAAGGTTCTGAACTGTAAACATCAAAGTCAATGATGGCAGAATCAGGCCATATTTATTAAAGATCTTCGAAATTCAAGCAACATAATATGAAATATCATCACAATAATTAAAGTTTAAGAAACTCCTTACACTGTTTGGGGCATTTCAGCTTTATAAACACGAGTATAAGCAAGCCATTACTCACATAGTACACACACAGTACTTGCGTAGTACTATATGAGATGTACCAAAGACTTATTCTTGAGCCCTACTGGTTCTGAATTATCCTTTCAGCATCCAGTACTTCGAAAGTTTATTCTTTTTTTTAAGTAAGCAGAACTTACTAATAAACAAATAATGTGTTCTATGGTATTGCTGTTCTAAAGGCAGAAATTGTAGGATTGATCCTTTGCTATCAAGGATTTAAAAAAAAAACCAATCTGATAACAGCATGAGGGAACTGTGAAAATGAGTAAGATAAAGTTTAGGAGAAAAAAATACACTCTTTGTCCTACAGTAAAGTGCACAGGAAATTAAATTGTGAAATCAGAATAAAATCATAACATATTAGGTGCTGGGGGTTTCTTATATATCTCAAGTTGCAGAACTCCTCTGAGAAACTATAACTATTTTATAAATTAATCTGTATACACAAAGGTGCCCAGGATGTACATGTAATTATAGGGACTAACTCTTAAGTACACGAGATACAGAGATAACAAATTTGTAATCAGTTCTAAAAATTCTACTAGCGGAGACAATAAAGAGAATTATAGTTGATAATAGTGCTGTCATGTCATTTTCACACTACCAAGCAAATCATCTTTGATGTCACGACAAAAGGAAGACAAAACCTGTATGCTCCATCTTTTCTTTACATTTCTTACATATGCACCAGTGTTATACTATTCTAAAAACAGTGAAGTAAAAAAATCTTGGGGCCTTCCAGCCAGGAGCACAGACCAGTTTGTTACTACACAACAAAACGTAGGACCTGGGGGAGAGAGATTTCACTAAGCTGGTCAGAGAGGAAATGCAGTTATATAATCAAAATGTTTTTAAATCTTCTACATAGATGTTTTTTAAAAATCTGGCATATACAAAAGGAGGAGTCTGTTTAGGTATTACGAATACAATTACAAAAGCCCCCCTACCTCATTTCAAGTGGCTAACCCAACTCACATGTAGTGAACCACTCCACCCATGTGTCTCCAGAGGAGTTCCCCTCTATGCTAGGTAGTGCTTACAGATGCTTGGATCTCAATGGGAAAGTGGGACTGCGCAGCTGTGACTGCCAGCTTTGTGTCTTTATTGAGCCACCAGCTGCCATTCCGACACACCACAGCAATGGTATTTCTTGCAGTCCTAATCACATACGTGTTACCCAGTCAAAGTCTGCACGTTGCAGCACTGACATTTTTGTAAAGCTATATTCTAGACCTTATGGCGCCTTCTGAAATGCTGCAGTGCTTTTTCCTCTCTTACTCTAACCTGCACAGCTGCATTAGAAATGCTATGCAGGCATTTAAAGGGATGTAAATATAGTATATTTGCATTTTACTTCCCTTCCACTTTGAAAGCACTTTGTACAGAGGCAGCTACACAGGTTCCATTAAACAGTTGGTATTAACTTTCTTGTTAAACTATATATAAACTGCCAATTTTCCTCTCACACTAAAAACACCCAAACCAAAACAAACTCACATTAAAAGAACAAAACAAAACCACCTCACATTTTAAAGTGAAAATATTGCTGTCAAACATTCCATTCATTTTTCTTGTAAGTTAGGAAACACAGCATTGTGGTGGTTTGACCCTGGCTGGACACTAGGTGCCCACCAAAGCTGCTCTATCACTCCCCTCCTCAGCTGGACAGGGGAGAGAAAATACAACTAAAAGCTCAAGATAAGGACAGGGAGAGATCACTCACCAATTACTGTCAGAGGCAAAAAAAAAGATTTGAGTTTGGGAAATTATCTTAAATTACTAATCAAATCAGAGCAGGATAATGAGAAATAAAGCCAAATCTTAAAAACACCTTCCCCCCACCCCTCCCTTCTTCCCAGGCTCAATTTCACTCCCAATTTCTCCACCTCCTCCCCCTCAGCAGTGCAGAGAGATGGAGAATGGGGGTTCATCACACGTTGTCTCTGCTGCTCCTTCCTCCTCAGGGGAGGACTCCTCACACTCTTCCCCTGCTCCAGTGTGGGTCCATTCCATGGAGTGCAGTCCTTCAGGAACAGACTGCTCCAGTGTGGGTCCCCTGTGGAGTCACAAGTCCTGCAGCAAACCTGCTCCATGTGGGCTCCTCTCTCCATGGGGCCATAGCTCCTGCCAGAAGTCTGCTCCAGTGCAGGCTTCCCACAGGGTCACAGCCTCATTTGGGCATCCCCTGCTCCGGACTGGGGTCCTCTGTGGGCTGCAGGTGGAGATCTGCTCCACCATGGACCCCCATGGGCTGCAGGGCACAGCCTGCCTCACCATGGGCTGCACCACAGGCTAAAGGGGAACCTACGCTCTGGCTCCCGGAGCACCTCCTCCCCTCCTTCTGCACTGGCCTTGGTGTCTCCAGAGCTGTTTCTCTTATATTCACTCCTCTCTCCAGCTGCAATTGCTCCAGCACAGTAACTTTCCCCTCTTCTTAACTGTGTTATCCCAGAGGCACTACCATTGTCACTGATGGACTCAGCCTTGGCCAGGAGTGGGTCTGTCTTGCAGCCGCTGGCACTGGCTCCATCGGACACAGGGGAAGCTTCTGGCATCTTCTTACAGAAGTCCCTCCAGTAGCTCCCCCCTACCAAAACCTTGCCATGTGAATCCAATACAAGCATTAATTTAGTTATATTCACAGATGCAGAATATTTTTAACTATGAATATATTTGTGTCATGCCAAAAAGCACCGTACACCATAAAAAATTACCTGTGTCTTTTTATGATGATTATAATTTCTTGTATTTTCTGGAACATGAATCAATTTCTACCTTTAGATATGACTTAAATGCTCAGGTGAAATCATTCTTAGAATATGCCACACAAATTGAATAAATAAAGACAGGTAGTGGATAAGACATCACAGAAGGTGGAAAACACGAACAACGATTTTTTCAAGTTAAACACTTTGACAACGGGGAAAAACTGAAAAAGCAATTCTTGACTTGAAACACAAGTTGTTGTGT